AAAGCTTTTGATAGTTCCTCATCAAAGGCTCATAAGTAAGCTCGATAGTCATGGGATGAAAGGACAAGTCCTCTTGTGGATCAAAAACTGGCTAATGAATAGGAAACAGAGAGTGAGTATAAATGGGCAGTTTTCTCAGTGGAGGGTGGTAAGCAGTGGGGTACTGCAGGGATCAGTCGTGGGCCCGATGCTTTTTAACTTGTTCATTAATGATTTGGAGTTGGGAGTAAGCAGTGAAGTGGCTAAATTTGCAGATGACATGAAATTGTTCAGGGTGGTGAAAACCAGGGGGGGTTGTGAGGCATACCTCTTTTTTCCAGCTCCATTGTAGCCTATGGGGACCATTATAGTCAATGGGACCCATAGGCTATAACAGAGAATTGATCTGGGAGTATCTGGGCATTGGTGGGGGCTGGGGTTTTATTTTAGGTAGAGGCACCAAATTTGCAGCATACCTGCTAGTGCCTCTCCTCAAAAATCTCCCCAAGTTTCAAAAGGATTGGACCAGGGGGTCCAATTCTACGGACCCCCAAAGGAGGGGCCCCCATCCTCCATTGTTTCCAATGGGCTGAAGCCGTATCTTTGGGCTGAAGCAGAAATTTTCTGAGCTGACTGTTAAAATTTTGTGTGCCAGCACCACCTAGTGCATCTTAGAGGGAACTATGCTTGCAAGTCACATGTTTTCCAGCTGGCTCAACCGTTCAGTGTGGAGGATGTTGGTGGTTAGCCCTGACTGCATTGTCCTTGTCCCCAGGTCCTCCTCAATTTTTTTGGAAGGTTCGCAGACTCTTATCACTTCTGACAGTGACAGTCATAATACAGCAAGTTGGCCACCCACTGTCTAGTAACTAGACTCTAGCTTGACTGCTCCACCTTTAGACACAATATCCTGTTCTCAGAAATCCACAGTGGCAACTGTGTGTTGGGAAATTGGTAGAAATAGTTAGATATTCAGAGTTTGCAATGGTTCTTTGTTCACTGGAGAGGAGGCATTTTCTTACTATGTAAAAAATGTAAAAAATTTACAAAACAACAAACACTTAAGATTACATGCTTGCAACAACAGACACACAGATAATAATGGAGATTCTTCCTTTCTTCTTGACCCCATGGGGCAGCCATAAGGTGGCTGCAACTTGATGGCACATTTAAAAACAAATCCCGCCCTTAGCATGAAAACTATGTAATTATATTGCAGGTATTCAGTGAGGTAGCTGGACAAAGTTTATAATGGAAGGAATAAGCTTCTTCCTCATTTGTATCTGGCAAAGTGAGCTTTTTCTTAACATTCTATTTTGTTGAAGAACTGAATTACAAATTAAGATTGCAATTTTAGCTAGTAATATATACATACTTCTTACATCACAATTTCTTCTTTTGTTTTTTTGATGGATGTGCATATACATTTTTAATTGCTTTAATTGCTTCTATCTCTTCAGTTCTTCTATTAACCTTTGTTGCATTTTAAGTATTTTAAGCAAAACGTTTCAGCATAACCACGAAATTAAAATAAAATACACAGGCTCAAAACCAATCATAGTACTTCTTACTCTTTCTTTGAACCTGAGTTCAGTCTGAGGGAGGCCCATGGACCAAAAGGACTTAACCTTTCACCCAAGGACTGTGGAATGGAGGGCACCTACCTGCATTCACTCGCCACTACCTGGTCACCCTACTTCAGATATGACAAGGGCAGTCCTCAGAGAAACACATGAATGCTTCTTGTTTAAAAGTAGTCTATATGTTCATCCAACTCTTCTCAGTCTTCAGAATGGCAGATTCTGGTTGCCTTAAACAGAGGTGATCTTGTTTTCCTTTTGTTGTCTGTCTTCTCCCCTAGTTCACCTGGTGATTTATTCAAAACAGCCAGCAACTGCTCTCCAGATGCCTGGTCAAAAGTTGTGTAAATCACCTGCTTATATTCCACACAGAGTTTGCCCGTATTCATCCAATGATACTTGATGTCTGACTCCCGGAGTTTAGTCGTAATTGGTTTCAACTCCCTTCTTATCTTAAGGAATTCTGGTGGAAGATCAGGGATCACCTGTATCTTTACATCTTGATATTCCAAACTGTTTTTTTCCTCTTGCTTGTGTTAATATCCCTTGTCTGGTTCTGAAGTCCTTGCAAACTACACCAATCTCTTGATAATAAACTGAAGTATTCGCTGTTTCCTCTTGTTGTCTGCCCACCCGAGAAGCCTTTTGAATCCAAAGAAAGAATGCGTTCTCTAGCCCATAAATCAGGGGAGTTACAAGCCGTTTGTTTCTTCAGCACAGATACCTTCTTTAAAGCATTATCAGCTGTTTGCTTAGTTTGCTAAAGGTAAAGGTTTCCTTGCTCGAAAGCCAGTCGAATCCGACTCTAGGGTTGCGGTGCTCATCTCCGTTTCAAAGCCGAAGAGCCAGCGCTGTCCGAAGACGTTTCCGTGGTCATGTGGCCGGCATGACTAAACACCAAGGCGCACGGAACGCTGTTACCTTCCCACCGAAGTGGTACCTATTTATCTACTTGCAATTTCTTGCTTTCAAACTGCTAGGTTGGCAGGAAGTTTGCTAAAACTGTTCTTCTAATTCATCCATATGCTGGAATGCTGGTTTTAGCATTTCCACAATGTCCATTCTTAACTCTTGTCGCTGTTTAGCCAAGGCTTCTAAAAGAAAGTTTGTTGTAAGAGTAGTCTCTTCCTTATCAGTATTTCCTGAGTCCATTGTGGAGGAGGTTCCAGCTTCAGCTTGAGCAAAAAACTGTCAAAGAAGGTATATTATCCATTTTTTGCTTTGCCTTCTGCTTCTCCTTCTTATCTTGCCTTGGAGACATATTTTCAGAATCTCAAATAACTTCAAAAGGGTTGAAAATAATAAATTAAGAGCGAACAGATGGCGAGCTGCGAGTAATGGCTATCAACCACCACTGGTTGTAGACCCACCCCCCGCAAAGAGAGCTTTGACTCATGAAAGCTTGTACCCTTGTAAATATCCTTGTAAATGTTGCTGGTCTTTAAGGTACTGCTGGATTTGAATTTCGTTCTCTTAATGCTAAGGAATGTGAGGTTTCTGGGGTTTGTGACTTAAGTCTGATTGTCCCCACAATGGGAGTTCAGTGCACCAGGTATATAAACAGCTACTTACCTGATGACCTTAGGTGAGTGACAATCTCCTCCAAGTGACCAAGAAGAGCAATCTTTAAAAAAACTGGTTTTGCAGGCTGAAAATTACTAGCTATAGTATGTACAGTGAGAGGAACTAATAACCAAAATGTCCTTTATTTGTCTGGCTGTTGGTGTTCATAGAAAAGTTAACACCCAGGATATTCTTGTCTGATTGCTTTCTTTCAAAACACTCTCCTCCTTCAACATTAGTCTGTTTCGCTTCATTTCACAGAGTGTCCTGAGGAAGTGTATGACCCCCGGTCACTCTATGAAAGACTTCAGGAGCAGAAAGATAAGAAGCAGCAGGAGTTTGAAGAGCAGTTCAAATTCAGTAAGTTCCAGTAAATGTCTCTGAGCCTTGGTGCAGAAAAATGCATTCCGGATCTTTGGTAGGTGCAGCCATTGTTCTCCTCCTAAGTAGAAGGACTTAGAATTGACCTTCTGTGGGTTCATAAAAGCACAACTCAGGCTCTACAAATGTAGCTCCTGTCAGTTTCCGCTCCGTGGCCCACAGAGAGTGACGACATGGCACAGCGGCTAGAGTGCCGGACTGAGACCAGAGGGGCCTGGATTCGTCTCCTCTCCCTCGCATGAAGCTTTCTAGGTGATCGCAGCATCGAGTTATTTCACAAGCTTGTTGTGAGGATAAAACAGAAGGGAGGGCCATGTATGCCATTTCGAATTCTTTGGAGAGAGGGTGGAATAAAAATCTAATAAATAACTAAAAAAAAATTGGCCCCTGCCAAAGTGCCACACATTC